AACCTAGGTGTCCATCAACTGAGGAATGGATAACCCAACTGTGGGCTGTACGCACAATGGCATACTATGCAACCCTAAAGAATAACGTAGAATCTTCAAAAACACCATATAACATGGATAAACTTGGATAAACATTTATCCATGTTGGAGTGAAATAAGTCAATCACAGAAGGACAAAAATTGTATTAGTCCGTTATTGTAAAAATCCAGGAAAGGTTTATCTATGGAAGGAAATTTTCTTTGTTGGTTACCAGGAGTAGGAGGGCACAGTAGGGAACACTGTTGAATAGGTAGAGATAAGTACTGCTTTGGGTGAAGAGAAGGGCAATGTACCAAATGTGAATGATCAACATGGTGGCACTGAGGAAGAAGATGATGTAGAGGTACATGGGAGGTACAAATAGCAAAGATGAACCCTCTTGTACATACAGTACTGTGTTGTCAGTGAAGGTAAACATAGGTATACAGGTGGATAGATGGGTGGGCAGGTTGAACTACTAGGTATGTCTATGATGCAGGGAGTGTACCCAAGACCATGTATAGAGTTGGCAGATAATGATCCTATAAGTCAATTTGTATGATCTGTAAGAATTCCCAGGTGTATAGTAGAGTTGACAAGAAGTTTGTAGTCACTTCTTGGGCACAGCCAGCTACCCAGAGGGACCGAATAGTTGAACTGGTGGGCTCGGGACCATAGTTGCAGGGGACATCAAGCTCAATTGGCATACCATACTATACAAAATATTGTTCCACCTCCTACTGTGGCGTAGCGAGTGGGATCTTAAAAGCTTACAAGCAGGCATCTAGATGCAATGATGGGTCTCTCTTAGTCCAGAACAAAGAATGAAGAAAACCAAAGATTCATGGAAGCAATTAGTCCTAGCGACTGGTACACCATGTGATCCTCAGCCTATATGACTATGAGACCAGAAGAACTAGATGGTGCCTGGCTACCACTGTCAACCACTTGGAGGGGGATCTCTGTAGGAGATCCTGGATAGAGAAGTAGAACAATGTGGAACAAAACTCAAAATCATTTGGAAAAAAAAAGGGGGGGGGGACCAGGTTTGCTGGTCCAATAGAGCCTGGTGGAACCCCTGAGACTATGGCCCCTAACTGCCCTTCAGGTCTGGAATTGAACCAAACCTGTGGCTTCCAGGCAAACAAAAGACAGGCATATGAGTTGAACATTTACCTGAGGTAGATACACTCCTTGGAGAGAACAATCATGGGAGAAAGAAGGGCTGCTTATGCACAGGGAGACAGCTCAGGGGGCAGGAGTGTATGGAGGGATGGACACAGGGAAGAGGTAACTATCAGGAGGAAGTGGGAGGGGAGCTATTGCATTGTGGTTAATTGAAGTCAATGTCATGAGACTAAGTGTATGTGAACTGCTGTATGGAAATGAATTTGGTCTGTAAATTTTCACCTAAATCACAATTAAAAAAAAAAAAAAAAAGCCCATGCTACACAAATCACAAAATCAACGACGGAAACCTATGCTTTGTAAAGGCAGGACAGTAGTTATCCTTGGTGGGGCAAGAACTAGACGGAAGCACAAAAGGGTCTTCTAGGGGATGGATAATGCTCTCTTTTTTTTAAAAAAATCTGAGTGCTAATTATAAGGGCATTTTCAGTGTGTGAAAACTCATTAAAACCTAAGATATATCTATGTATAAGTTGTACTTCAATTAAAAGTTAAAAACAATACTCTGCCTATCCCAGATTTTCTATTTTTCTACTCTAGTGATTCTAGTTGTGTGGTATAAAAGATTAAGTGCTCCACTACTAGCTGAACAGTTGGTGGTTCAAACCCACTCATTCATTCACCAAGAAAATCATTGACCAGAAGTTATGAATTACACTTGCTAAATTCAACTATTCTACAAATATACACAAATTCTAGAAGACAAAACATTTAACCAGAGGGAGCTCTGATAGCATAGTGCCAAAGGCACTTGACTGCTAACCAGAAGGCTGGCGGTTCAAACCGACTAGCTACACCTCGGAAGGAAGGTTGGGCAATCCACTTCTGGAGTGATACCGCCTGGGAAACCCAAGGAGGGGTCGCTGTGAGGTGGGTCTGACTCCACAGCACATAACAACAACAAACAAACAGAAGCAGCAACACCATCCCTTTCCTTCACCAATTTGAGCTGACACAGTGATAGAGTGCATAATATTGATGGCAAACTGCTTTCCAACAGGAATAAAAAGGCCAAAGATGATAAATGGTGGCAAAGATTCCATGAGTAATACAATTGTTTTTGGAGCAAACACCTTGATATTTCAATCACTGAAGGAGAAAGAAAACTCTTCCGTTTCTTTCTGGCAATGGAATCACAGACCTGCAGAGTAAGAAGGAGGGGAGGAACTTCAGAGACCTGGTTCAAACTCCAGCTTTCTGTTTGCAGAAAGAAACTTGGGAGAGCAGTCCTCTGAGGTCACTTCTGGAGAAAACTCTTCACCCCACACTTTGAGGCAACCAGAGAGACCTTTGCCTAATCAGACAAATTTGTGGCCGTAAAACTGATGCAGACAAAATCTCTCCCTTCACTCTGATCTCAAAATGAGATCACCATAATCACCAGTTGCAGATACCCCTTGCCCCACCCAGGCCCGCTGAACTCTCTCCGGATTGATTCTTTATTTCATTCTCCTGAACTCCCACTCTCCTTTTTGCATTCTTGGAATCTGCACCCTGACTTTCTTATCACCGCCTCCTCAGTTCTCATGCCTCTCCAACTTTTGGAAGCAATAATCTGACTGGGTGGCTAGCTGTGTGTCCTTGGCTTCCAGGTTGCAGTCCATACTTGGACTGCTTGGTTGACCAGCACTCCATCTTCTCTGAGGGTTTTTCTTCATTCTACTACCCACATCTGGGGAAATCACAAGGCTCAAGTCTCGAGCTTCATTCTCCTTTCTTTCCTAGTGATTATCCAATAGAACAGGCAGGCACCCACCTAGCAGAGTCCTAGGACAGACGGAGGCTTTCTTCAGATAAAATTATCCCCACTCCTACCTTCACTCCTAGATATTTGGAACATTTCTTCTCCCCCTGGGGTTGAGACTCATTGGGAATATTAGAAAATATTACTGGGAACAGCAGACAGATGTGGTGCTTACTAAATACCAGACACTGTTCTGTGTGCTCTCTGAGGCATCAAGGTACTTTATGGATACAAACAAAACCAATTTTTCTTTTAACTTCCTGCACCTAGAAACCCAATCTAGCCTCCATCCTAAGAGGCTAGAGCAACTGCCCGGCACTGCTCTCTGCAGAAAGATTCCCAGGATGCAGATGAGGCTGGAAGTGTCTTTGAACAGCCAGCTTTCTGACCGCAACACCAAAGAAGCTGGTGCTCAGTCAGGGCGAGATCTTGGCCCATCCTGTGAATTAAGGGAATCAAAACTGGCATGGCCCATATTCCAGAGATCTTCCCACAGTATCCCATTGGGAAAAAATAAAGCAGAGACCACAGGATAAATGTACAATTAGCTGTCATAACAATACTACAGATCAAAAGCAGCAGGATGATTATGATTCAAAAGCCTAAGTGAACCAGGTTGCTTAAAAATATTGTACTTTAGCCTTACTATATGAGTAAAATTTGCTTGGCTAGTCAAACAGACTTTGACCTCTGCTTCAGTGATCATGAACTGGTAATGTCTCCGTCCTCTCCCATTTGGCCTGCTAATAGCCTGTTCCATGTATCCACCCCTACTTGGACTCTGCTGCTACCTTGTTTCATTGCACTATTAGATTCATCCTTGGAGAGTGGGATTCTTTGAAACTGGCTGAAAGATACTGCTTCCGCTGCCTACAGTTAGTTGTTATGCATATTCTTCTCTGGAGATTTCACACCTGCTACATATGAAGCAGAGTCCCTGGGTTGTTCTAAGGATTAATGTGATTGGCTGCTAACTAAAAGGTGGGGAGTTCGAGGCCACCCAGAGGCTCTTCCGAAGAAAAGCCTGTGATCTATTTCTGAAAAATCAGCCACTGAAAAGCCTGTGGGGTGCAGTTCTATTCTGTCACACATGGGATTGCCATGAGTCGGAATTGACATGGTGGAAACTAGTTTATTCCGGTAGACCATCTCGTGATCACTTAATGAACGTGAGATAGATCTGAAAGATGCACTACTCTGTAGCATTTGAGTCAACCATACAAGTTACCTGTAAACTGACAATCAGGTCTCCAGGAGCTAAGATGCCCGAGCAACACTCACCATCGAGTCTCTCCACCATGACTGTGTGGCAAACTGCAAGCAAGAAAAAGAACTGTCGCACTTCAGGCTCTTTCCCTGACTGGATTTGCTCAATAAGATAATGATCATAAAATGCAAGCTTCCCATCAGCAAATGTATTCCAGCTAAAATCAACTGGCTGAAAGAAAAGGAGAAGGAAAAGGAAGCTGGATCAATAAAACAAGTCTGGCTTACAACTTGACCAAGGTTAATGATGACACTAAGAAGTGCAAAGAATAAGGGATGTTACTGGTAAATACTATAAGATACAATTTTCCAACAACAGCAGTGACAACCAAAAAATTCATGAGTGGTTACGTAAGTAGTTGTGTATACATATATGTGTATGTTGTTGTTGTTGTTGTTATGTGCCGTTGAGTCGGACCCAACTCATAGAGACCCCTCCTTGGTTTTCTGAGGCAGTATCACTACGGAAGTAGATTGCCCCATCTTCCTTCCGAGGAGTGGCTGATGGTATAGGAAGGTGTATGTGTGTATATTCATGTGCATGGATAGGTATTCATGTGCATGCCTGTAGGCATAAACATACACGTTTGTATGTGGGGCACATATATTCATATATATAATAAAGCACATAGGGGACACAGTCATGGATACTTCTTAAGGCACTCTGGTGGCATAGTGCCTAAGGCATTTGACTGCTAGCCAGAAGGTTGGTGGTTCAAACCCACCAGCCACTCTGCAGAAGGAAGATTGGGCAATCTACTTCCATAAAGATTTACTGTCTCAGAAACCCAAAGGATACTTCTTGGACATAACCAAATACTTCACAAGATTGGATTATTGGGTTTGAAGGCTTAGGACCATAGTCTCATGGAACAACTCACTCAACTGGCACAACACAGTCCATAGAGTGTATGTTCTACATCCTAGTTTGGTTAAGTACCATCTGGGGTCTTCAAAGCTTATGAGCAGCCATCTAAGATACAACTATTGGTCTCTACTTGCCTGGAGCAAAACAGGAAAAAGGAAACCAAAGAATCAAAGAAGAAACTAGTCTATGGAGCTAACTGCCTAGATGAACCACAGCCTCATCTATCGTGAGACCAGAAGAACTAGATGGTACCCAGCTACCACTACCGACTATTCCAATGAGGAACACTATGGATGGTCCTGGATGGAACAGGAGAAACTATTGAACAACATAACTTCTTTGAAAAAGGCCAGACTTACTGGACCAGTAGAGATGAGAAGAACCCGTGAGACTATCATCCTGAGATGCCTTTTATACTGTGAACTAAAACTACTCTCGGAGGTTACCTTTCAGCTAAATATTAGATTGGCATATAAAATAAACAATATCACCCATGAGGTCCTTTAATTAAAAAATAAAAAAAATAATCTATATATAAGACCAAATGGTCAACCTTTACCCTACAGCAAAGATGAGAAGGTGGGGTGGGGATAGGAAAGCAAGATTAATGGAAACAGAACAACCAGAATAGAAATAATGAGAAAGAAAACAGATTGTGGAAAATGTAACCAATGCCACTAAACAATCTATATAGAAATTCTTAAATGGGAACCTAATTGGCTGTGTAAATTTTCACCAAAAACACAGCATTTAAAAAAAAAAAAAAAGAAAAAAATCCTCTGGCTTATCAAATGTTAAACTTTTCTTTGGAGCCAGTTTTAATTATACAAAAATCACTTTAGGATTAGCACATTCTTGACGTAAGTGCTAAGAGGCTCACGTCTGAAGCAAAAGGGCATCCTGACAATGGGGATTGGTGCAGGCTTCACAACATGATTGATGTCACTGGTTTTACTGAATTGCACATGTGAAAAATGTTGAATTGGCAAATGTGGATTATGATTATTTTTTTATAACAATGGAAAAAAAGGGAGGGAGCGGGCACCAGAACATTAGCTTAAGTTAAAGAGGACTCACCTCTATTTTGCTGTGATTGTGTTGAGAAGCATCCCGACGGTCTCCTGAGAAAGTAGCAGAACAAAACAAATTCAGTCCTGTGTCCGGGGTCTCTGCCTCACCTGCTGCTTTATGTGGTAGCTGTGGTTATGGAGGTCTCATAGCTTACTTCAAGGAGCTCTGATGGCACAGTGCCTAAGGCTAACCAGAAGGTCGGTGGTCCAAATCCACCAGCCACTCTGCAGAAGGAAGGCTGGGCAATCTACTTCCATAAAGATTTCCTGCCTCGGAAACCCAGTGGGGGTTGCTATGAGTTGGAATCAACTTGATGGCAGTGGGTAGGTTTACAGCCTGCTTCTGTATGGCCCTTCATCCACCCAGAAGAACCTTGGAAGAAAGGCCTGGTGATCTACTGAAAAACCAGCTGTTGAAAACCCTGTGCAACATGGTTCCACTCTGACACACTTGGGGTCACCGTGAGTCAGAATCAAGTCAACAGCAACTAGTTGGTTTATTATTATTATTCCCCGAGCTAGGAATGCTTTTTATATTTTTTAAGAAGTGTAAAACAAAATGAAGAAGAATCTTCAACAGAGACCATACATGCCCTGCAAGTCTGAAACATTTGCTATCTGCTTCTTTACCAAAAAAGTTTGCTGTCCCCTGGTTTTGATGTCCAGATGATGGAGCCCAGGTCCCTCTACACTGCAATCTCCTTGGGGCCAGATCATGTTCTATGAAGTGCTTGACCACCCCAAGTCAAAAGCAACAGTCACCCCACACATGGGAACTGCTTCCTCAACTTAGGGGGTCACATGTTCCTCACTGATTAAAAAGGGGGGTACCCATCCATACCCCAGTACCTCCCGCAGAGGTTCATCATGTGAAAACCCTTTCATAGTACAAAGTTTCTCCAAGCAGAAGAACATACACGTGTGTCTCTTTCTGACTGCTGGCCACTCCCATGCTGGTGTTCCCAGCGCTGCCTGTGATGCTATGCCACCCTCAACAAGGAGTGCCCACCAGCAGCACTGGGTGGGCACTATGGCCTCATGTGTGGGTAGACCCCCACACACAGAAAGCAGCCCCACCCTCCCAGGCCGCTAGGAAGGGGGTGTGGTTAGCTGCCATCAAGTTGGCTCCATGACCAAACCCCACACACAACGGACTGAAACACTGCACGGTCCTGTGCTCACCCCATGATCGGCTGTGGACTGGACCGTAGTGACCCACAGGGTTTTGCCGGCTCATTTTTGGAAGTACACTGCCAAGGCTTTCTTGCTAGCCCGCTTTAGTCTGGATGTCCCACCGGACCCTCGTCAGCAGCACTGCGGCACACAGGCCTCCAATGACAGGTGGGTGGTGGCTGCACGAGGAGCAACGGCTGGGAGTGGAACCCAAGCCTCCCACACGGAAGGCGAGAAGTCTACCCCTGAGCCACCACTGACCGGGTGATGGCTGACACTCACCATAGATTTGCCCGTTGATGCAGCACTTTTTAAACGTCATGATGTTTTGAGTCAATGTTCCCGTCTTATCAGAGAAAATGTAATGGATCTGCCCCAGCTGCTCGTTCAGTGTGGTGGTCCGGGCCTTGGCAGGTGTGTCCTTCTCGGGATAGTACATTTGGAGGTCCCAGTTTATGAAGTAGCTCTGCATAAGACGAATCACTTCCACGCTAGGAGGTAAGAGGTAACTTTTGACAATGTGCTCAGGTACAAGCTGCAGGGAGTGCATTTCAGCCTGACCCAAGCTTAGAGGAACTAGCTGCTTCTCCTTAGGGACCATCAGCCATGTGTGGCTCTGGACCCAGCCTCCTGGGTTCTCTGGACCAAGCAGGTCTTCCTCCAGTTTCCATGTCAAACAGATTTAGGGGAGCAGTTTCCCTCCAAAGGCCTGGCTCCCTGCACTTCCCTTCACTCCTGAGCACAGTGGACCACAGACTAGGAACCTGTGTCCAGCCCACCCTCCCAGGAGAGTGGACAGCACAGTCACATTACAGACCTGTGCTGGGGGAGGCGGCAGTCCTTTCTTGCTTTTCTTGTTCCCTCTCACTCACCTGGAATGGCCACGGTCACCTTTGCCCCCAACTGTAGGACAAAGCAAGGGAGGGTCCACTCTGTTGCAGCCCCTTATGTGCCCTCAAGTAAGGCAAAGGCATGTGGCAAAGGACCCCTAAATCACGATCCCACACTATGAAAAGGCATTATTTCCTCCCTAAATTCTTATAAGTTTACAGAATATGCAAAGTCAGACATTTTAAAAGGATAATCTTGATTTTAAAAGCTTAAAGGATTAAATATATCTCAACTACAAGGAAGCTGTTTACACAACCAACAACTGTCATATAGACAAAGGGTATCTTTACAACAAGTTGAACAAATGGAAAAATACCTCCTTTCCTTCTTTTAGTATTTCCTGAGTGCCTACTATGTGCCAGACATTGTTCTAGGTGCTGGAGACATAGCAATAAACAAAACAGACAAAATCTCTGTTGTTGTTGGTACAAGCCATCGAGTCATGTCCAACTCACAGTGACCCTATGCACAACGCAGCAATACTGCCTGGTCTTGCTCCATCCTCACAGTCAGTGCTATGTTTGAGCCCATTGGTGCAGCCTGTGTCAGTCTACACTGCTGAGAGTCTTCCTCTTTGTTGCTAACCCTCTATTTCACCAAGCATGGCATCCTTCTCCAGAAACTGGTGCCTTCTGGTAACACGTCCACAGTACATGAGATGAAGCCGTGCCAGTCTCTCTTCTAAGCAGCATTCCAGCTGTACTTCTTCCAAGACAGACCTGTTCGTTCTTCTGGCCGTCCATGGCATATTCAGTATTCTTTACCAACACTATAACTGAAATGCATCAATTCTTCTTTGGTCTTCCGTATTCATTGTCTAGCTTTTATATGCATATGAGATGACTGAAAAGACCATGGCACCTTAGTCCTCAAAGTGACATCTTTGCTTCTTAACACTTTAAATAGGTCTTTTGCAGCAGATTTGCCCAACGCCATACACTGTTTGATTTCTTGATAATCTCCACTTATGATGATGTTGCTTATGGGTCCAGTTGTGAGGATTTTTGTTTTCTTATGTAGAAATATAGTCCATACTGAAGGTTGTAGTCTTTGACCTTCATCAGTAAGTGCTTCAGGTTCTCTTCACTTTCAGCAAGTAATTTTATGTCATCTGCACGTTACAGGTTGTAAAGGAATATTCTTCTAATCCTAATGCCATGTTCTACCTTCCTATATTCTAACCTCTCGGATTCTTTGCTCGGTATACAGATTGAATAGTACAGTGAAAAGATACAATCTTGTTGCACACCTTTTCTGATTTTAAATCATGCAGTATTCCCTTGTTCTGTTTGAACAACTGCCTCTTGGTCTATGTATAGGTTCTCCATGAGCACAATGAAGATTCCCCATTCTTTGCAGTGTTTCCATGATTTGTTACAATCCACACAGTTGAATGCCTTTGCATAGTCAATAAAACACAGGTAAGCATCTTTCTGGTATTCTCTGCTTTTGGCCAAGAATCTGACATCAGGAGTGATATCCCTTGTTCCACATCTTCTAAACCTGGCTGTCTACTCTTAACTAAATACCAGGTTAGCAGTGGTTAACAGATACTCTAAAGCTGAGATGAGGAGGTGGGGGGCTGTGAGACTAGGTCAGTGAGAAAAGAACTAGAACGGTAATAAGACGGTTGATACGATGTGAAGAATGTAACCCATATCACTGCACAATGTGTGTAGAAACTGTTGAATGGGATCATGTTTTGTTGTGTACATTGCCACTGAAAATATAATATATATTTTTTTAAAGAATATCTGCTCTTAAGGAGGTTACCTTCTAGTAAGGAAGAGAAAAATAAACCAGGAAGCATCTACTCTGTCAGCTGGTGAAAGTTCTCTAAAGAAAAACAAAGCAGGGTAAGAGGGCATGAAGACAGACAAGGAAAGACAGTGATACTTAAGAAAGGGTTGTGGGGCAGTGAATTGCTTTTATTTGGCCTTTCTCACCATGGTCTGTGACTCCCACAAAATGATTGGTTGGGACTATGCAAATAAGGTATGTAAATTCTTACAGGGATTAGACAGTTTACTATGCAAATAAGGTGACTGTGGCCTACCTAGGGAATCGGTCAATTCTGCCATCCTTGGAGGTTTAAAAGGACCACACCCAGAGACTGAGGAGGATCTCACTACCATGAGGAAGAGGAGTCTGCAGTGGAACACATCCTCTGGATCAAGGACTAAGAACCTTCTAGACCCAGAGGAAGAGAGAACAGCGAAGACAGAGACAGCAGTGGTTAGCTTACTGGCACCTTTGGGCAGGAGGCTGGCCAGCAAAGCAGAAAGAGTGTAACATTTGCCTGTGCAAGGCACAAACACACCTACCCTCCTAGACATTGGGAGCCCAGGTAACATGGTGGCAAGAGAGCCCTGCAGGCCAGGTAGTATGGTGGGAGCCAGTAGCAGTGGCTTGGGAGGGCCTGGTGGCAGAGGCTTGGGAGGGCCTGGTGGCAGAGGCTTGGGAAATCCTGTATAGTGGTCTTCCCGTCAGTGAAGCGAGAGCCACCAGCAGATCAGGAGCCTCGGGAAACGTAGTGATAGCTGGAGGCAGCAATGACGTGGACAAAGCAGCTGCCCTGAACCTTAGCATGCCTGCCTAGCAACATAAGAATGGACACAGGTACTGTGGGGAAGGGTAAGTATTTCCCTTTTGGGAATCTGCTGTTATGGTTTCATGTTTGCTTTCTATCAACAGTAATAACAGCTTTCACTTTGCCAAAACTGTGTGTCTCGTGTGTCCAGCTCAATCACAGATGAACATGGCACTCACAGAATGGTTGACGCCAGTAGTAGAGGTGTCTCATTCCTAATAGTCGAATGGCTGCCTGGAAGTCTGAGGCACAGTCTGTCTGCATCTGCAATGCAGACAGACAGTGAGGTACATATAGTGGTAGAAAGGAAAAGCCACTGGAATAATGTCATATCCGAGCCAAGATCTGAAGAATATGGAAGAGTGACTGCTGTGGGTTGAATTATGTTCTCCAAGAACATACACTCAAGTCCTAACTCCTGGGTATCTGTGAATATTGGGTATCCCTGGTTGGAGACAGGGTCTTACAGACACACTCAAGTTAATGTGTAGGGGGTGGTGTTCTTAGCATATGAAAGAAATTTACACAAAGAGATACAGAGGAGAGACAGGGAAAATGCCATGTGACAACAAAGGCACAGATTGGAGTGATGTGTCTATCAATCAAGGAATGGCTAGGAAGCTAGGAGACAGTCATGGAACAGTTCTCCCTCAAAGCCTCTAGGATAAGTTTCTGTTTTTTTAAGCCCAAACAGATTGTGGAAGTTTGTTATGGTAGCCCCAGGAAAGCAAGACAGGGACCATGTAGATACGGAAGGAAGAATGTTCCAGGCAGAGCTAAGAGCAGGCACAAAAGCCCTGTGACAGGCACTGGCATGAGTGAGGAGCATCTAGGAGGTCAGAGGACCTGGGAAACAGGAAGGCAGGTGGGGGTACAGCAGGTAAGGTCACGGGGTGAAGGAGGGCAGAGCATCAGGTCATATGGGGCCCCATGCAGTGAAATGCAGCCTACATGGATTGATTCTGAATGAGATGGAAAGCTATTATAGGGTTGAGGACAAAGCAGTGATACTATGTGACTGGAATGAAATGATCTAACTGGCTTTACAAGGACCTTTGTTTCCAAAAAAAATAAGAAATTCATGTTAGTTTTAAAATAAGTAAATAAATGAATAAAACACATACACTTGTTAGTTATAGGGTATGACTTGTTTTTTAAGCCCAAAATTATAGATACAGTTCATTTGATAGCATATATTTAGTTTTAGACAAACTAATATGTAGTAAGTTTCCTTAACAAACGTAGCATCTCAGTTATATTTAAAGTAGCTGTACACAGATGGCTATCTAAAGCTTTAATTCATGTTGAAAGAGTAACAATAATGACATGTAATAAAATTAAAAATAAAACAAATGCACATGTAATAAAATTAAAATAAAATAAATGCTTCTGGTGGAGGCGGGGCAAGATGGCGGACTAGGCAGAAG